GGGACTAGGAAGACAGAGATGCCCTGGTGGAAATCTGTTTTTTGCTTTGATCCTCAGAAAGCCTTTTTCGGGATCATAAGCCGGAATCCAGTTCACCTAACGAATGGAAATCCACCTTGACTAGAAAAGAAATTCTGACTTTTATTTTAGTACTGTGGATTGAACCCAGTGCCTTATGTGCACTAGGCAAGCACTTCACCACTGAGCTACATTCCAACTCGTTTTTTTTTTTTTTTTAGTTGTTGATGGACACAATACCTTTATTTTATTAATCTATTCATTTTTATGTGGTGCTGAGGATTGAACCTAGGGCGTCGCACGTGCTAGGAGGGCACTCTACCGCTGAGCTACTACGCCAGCCCCTATATTTCAACTCTTAAAAAAAATTTTTTTTTTTTAAATTTTGAGGCAGGGTCTCACTAAGTTGCTCAGGATGGATCTGAACTGTGGTCCTCCTGCCTCAGCCTCTGTGGGATTACAGATGTGTCCTACCACACCGAGCTCAAGTTTCTTAAAATCCAATCTTGACAGACACCTGGAAAAACATTCTGTGCCTCCTGTTGCTCCCTGACTCAGCAGAACACTTGAGGATGTTTACAATTTGGACACAACATCCTTTCATTAAAGATATTAATGATATAGATTGATTGTTGCACGACCCAGGCACTACACGGAGGACTTTACATGTGTTGTCTCATTCCATTCACACCTAACCACAGGCACCATGCCGTAGCTCAGTTTTCTCACCTGTAAAATGGGGATATTTTATTTTCCCCACATTTTTTATTGGTGCATTATATTTGTACACACTGTTGTGATTTGTTGTTACATATCCATACATACACACGATATACAACATAACAACTTAAGTTGGCTAATAACACTTCCCAGCACTTCCCTGCTCAAAATGGGGACAATCTAAAAAAAAGCACTGGGAACAGTGTCTAGTATAAAGTTACCTTTTACGTGACTGCATGACCAATGTAATTCTGCAACCTGTACACTCAGAAAAATGAGAAATTATATCCCATCTGATTCAAATGTATGATATGTCAAGATCATTGTAATGTCATGTGTAACTAATTAAAACAAATGAAAAAAAAAATTAAAGTTACCATTCAACTAACAGTAGCCATTAGTCCATCATCCCTGTTTTACAGATGAGAAAGTTGAAGTTCAAGGAGGTTAAGGAATTTGCCCAAGGCTACAACTCATTAATAAAGGTCTAATAAGGAAGTCAGGCTTCAGTGCCCAAGCTTGCCCCTGAGGATCTGCATTCAACCTAGAGCCGCTCTACAGCTCCCTCCCCTGTATGAGCCTCTCTGACTTTCCACCTAAGGGGTCACTCTGCTGATGGGAAGCTTCCCTTCCTGCTCCTCTGGGAAGGCTTCCTTGTGCCCCTTCCCCGTGACCTCTCTAGGCAGAGGCACATACCGCCACTCTGTAGCTCTCAGCCTACTCCATGGGCCTCTCCACCCCCACCTCACCAACTCACACCTGAGAATACACTATTCCCCACACCCGAGAGCAACAGTGTCCCTGTCACCTTTGGCTCCGCCAGGCCTGGTTGGCATGGAGCAGACCTGTGTCCCTGTCACCTTTGGCTCCGCCAGGCCTGGTTGGCATGGAGCAGACCTCCATGAATGTTTGTTGGATTTGTTGGGAGCCAACTCCAGCGAGGAGTCAAACCAAGAGTGGAGAACAATACCTGCTGGCAGAGACAGCCTGCCTGACAGCATACACTCCAGAGTGGACATGCTCATGCCCGCCTCTGGCTAGGGCCTCCTGACCATTTTGCCATGACTTCCAGTCCCTTGGCCCTGGCTCTTCCTTTGTCTCCTGCCTGTCCCCAAAGTTAGCCAGTGATGGGGGTTACCCCTAGGGCAGCCTGTACCATCCACAGCATGAGAACAGGCTTTGCACCTCCTTAATTCATTTATTCAACAAAGATTCACGGGCACCACCAATAAGGCAGGCATAGGTCTGGGTCTTGGGTACAGAGAGGAGAGCAGACCATGCAGTCCCTGGTGTCATGAAGCTTACATTCCAGTGGAGGCAACAGTTAACTAACAAGGTATGTGATTATACATCTCCACATAAAGGTAAACAATAGTCAATTAACTATTCAAGTCCAGTAGTCAGGGAAGGCCTCTCTGAGGAGGTGATATTGAAGTCAAGGGTCTGAAGAACTTGGCCCTGCAAAGGGTAGGGAAGAGCATTCTGCGAAAAAGAGAACAGCATACACAAAGTCCTGGAAATGGGAGTGAGATTGCTATGTCGAGGAAATGAAGGCAGGTTGGGGCCAGAATCCAGGAGCAAGTTTGGGACTAAAGAAAAATGAGGCTGGAAGTGGGGTTGGGACCAGACCAAGAGAGAAAGAGTTTGGATTTTATCTTTAGAATAACCATGTAACAGCCAGACGTAGCCAGTCTCAGCAACTCAGCAAGACCCTGCCTCAAAATAAAAATAAAAAAAAAAAAACAATACAGGCTAGGGATATAGCTCAGTAGTAGAGTACCCTGGGTTCAATGACCAGTACCACCCCCCCCCCCCAAGAAAAAAATATATAACAGGGTAACAGAAGAGAGTTTGGACCAGGGGTAATACAATGTGATCTGCGTATTCAGATTCTCTCTGGTTGCTGTTGAGAACTGTCAGACAAGGTAAGAGGTAAGGGAAGAGACCTTGTGGACTGGGACAGTGATCTGGGGGAGAGGTGATGTGGCCATGCCAGGGTGGTGGCAACAGGTCCAGATATAAGTGGACAGACTCCAGAGACATTTAAGAGTCTATTGGAGTTTTCTCAAAAAACTCAAAAACTCTATTGACTGTCTACAACACCCCCACAGTGGGGCGGGGTGAGGGGGGAGTTAGGGCACCTGGAAAGCTTGGGAATAGGGAAAAAAAAAAAGGATCCCACTCCCCAGCCATGGGAACACACAACCACTTTCCCACAATCTCCTGAGGAGAATGAAGTTAAGGCCCAAGATGCTCAAAGCACCAGGCCATTTCCACTTAATTTCTGTGGTGGTGATGCACTGTTTAGAGCTGGGTACCTGCAACATAGAAATGTGTTTCCCACAGCCCAGGTAGCAGTGAATGCTGGGTTGGATGCTAAAGATGGTCCTAGCATCCTGGGAGCAGCAGGAGAGCAAGGAGGGGGAGATGGAGAAGTAGGGAAGTGTTGAGGGAGGAGCTGGGGAGTTCTTCCCATCCTGAGTTTGCCCCTTGTGAGAAATCTAAGTCTGGTCTTTGCCTCTGTCACCCTCTCTGTTCCCCTCTCCCCACTTTTGGGAGCCTGTGGATCTGACCTGCCTTCTCTCTATCCATCTTCCTCTGGCACATCCCCTGCCAGTGGCCCGCTCTCTGCAATGTCACCTCTCCTGGCTGAAGCACTTCTCAGAGGTTGCCACAAGACAGCAACCTCATCAAACTAGCTCTGCTTAGCAGTAAAAGAAGTACTTACCTCTTTCTCCCTCCTTGAGGAATTTCTCTTTTCAAAAGAGCTTTCTGGTCACTCAAATTGATCTCTGCCCCACTGCTCTGAAAGGGCCCTTTGCCTCCATGGTTTCTGAAAACTCTATTGATGGAGCCTGCTCAATGCAGCCTCTGGGGAAGGTGGTTCCATCAAAGGCTGGGGGTGAGAGAATCTTACCCCAGGGTGCAGGGGACATCAAAATATTTAATAACCAGTATGACATGCACACCAGTGAATTGCCAGCTCCAGGACCCCACAGCCTTGGGTCTGTCAGGCATTAACCAGATCATGGAGGTCCTGGGGAAATGCCAGGTGGTGGGGGGCACTGGGAGGCACTCGTGGGAAGCAGTTGTTTACCAACAAGTTCAGAAGTGTTTCTGCACTTTATCAACTGATATGGCAATCCTGAAAGCAGGTTCAGTCTGCTATTCCTCTGGGAAGGGTCGCTGGGCCATTTATTCCTTCTGTTAGAGGAAAATGGCCCAAGGCAGAGCTGGGGAATGGGAGCTGCCTCTGAGCAGAGCCAGCTGTGTGGAATCTGGGTGAACAGGCTCTCAGGCCCTTGACCCCCTGCGTGACCTTGAAGGGCCCAGATGCCTCTGAATGTTCTTCCTTCTGCCCCTCCTCACGGTTATTTTTGTTCAGTCTGACAGCCCTTGGCTGTGGCAGCAGTCTGGGCTCTCTGAGCCGGATGCAAACCAGGCGGCTCAGACGTCTGGTGCTGAATCCCAAGAGGATGCCTCTCTGGGTGCCATCACGTGGTCCCTCCACACTGTGTCCCCATGGGGAAAGACCACACACCCAGGAGCTGGGTTCTCTATTCCTCAGTCCTGACTCCTGCCTGGCAGTGAGGACACCCTGTCACAGAGCTTTGCCACTGCTCAGAAGCCCCCTGGCCTGGCTTTTTGAGCCAGATGTGAGCAGGGAACTCTTAGTCTCAAGGACAGTGGGTGTCTGCAGCTGGAGGGAAGTAGAGCAGGACCTGCTGGGCTTCCGTCATCCAGGCTTGGTTGTAATAGAGAATGGGTTTGTCCTGTGGTTCACAGTGATGGGGTAGGCAGGGGCAGACAGGGTGCCCAAGAGACCTCTTAATGGCCTCTGTTCAGTTACCATCTCCAGGAAATGAGACAGACAGTATGTTCCAGTTCCTTGGTCTAGGATGGCTACAGCCAGTCACTGTTCCTGACTAGGGTCTGACCTCTCCATAGAGGCAGCCAGCCTTGGACCATGGCAAGCTTCATGGTTCAAGCTTCCACCCCAGACCCATGGTTCATGAATACTGGGCAGGAGAGGGGGCTGGGCACAGCTCTTAGGGGCTCATGAGGCACTATGACTCATCTGTGCAGGTGAGAAACGGGACGGAGCCTCTGAGATCAGAAGGGGTCCATGGGAGCCGAGTGGACAGGCTGGGCTGAGCGGTGAGGAGGAGAGAGCTTCTGGTGGGTGAGGAAGGTGCTTTCACATAGAAGCCCATCCGGGAAGCAAAGCAGAAGAGGCTGCATCGTTTTTAGAGCTTCTGAATAAGAACCTTTCTTGTGATCCTGGGAGCCTGGGGGTGGGGGAGTAAGCTCAGAAAGCTCCAATTTCAGTGATTTCAGAGACCCAGGAGTGGTAGAGCACAGCACCTGCAGGCCTCCCAGCTGGCCCTGTGGGAGATGGACTGGAGACTGGCACAGCCACATAAGCTGCGGAGCCCACAGCACCAGGGGATCTTGGGGAGGAGGACTGCAGGAGGGGAACGGTGTGGCTGCTCCTGGCAGCCCTGCTGCTGGAGGCCATGGGAAGAGGGGCAGCTGGCCTCTCTGGGGGGCGGGCCCTCTGGGTGGAAGATGCCCCTCGACTGGGCAATAAATTCCTCCGGGCAGGCAGGATGGTACCAGTGGCCCTGCGAATGGGTGCGGTTCGGAGGGCTGGGATGGGGTAAGCAGGAGAGGAGGTGCTGGGGAGGACAGGGCCAGGCACACTTCCCAGGATGGTGAGCTGGTTGCTCAGGGCTGGCAGCCCTGGACAACTATGGAAGAAAGACCAGGGCCAAGCAGGGAAAGCCAGGGGGCCAGCAGGCGTGGGCGAAGGCTCCATCTCAGCCGCGTAGCTGTTGAGGTGGGAGAGAAGGCGAATCCGGACAGGGTCTGCTCGGCTGCTGGGCCCTTCCAGGACCCCCAGGTACCTGATGACCTCAGTGAGGCACTCGCGAAAACCAATGCTCCTGAAGTCAACTGCCAGGGCTCGGGCATCAAAGAATCCTGAAAAGTGAGGCACCATGAGGGCATGCTGGGGTGGGGGGACAGGCAACCCAGGGTCAGATGGTGTTCTGAACATGCCCCTTCCATTCACTCCCTGGGTGACCTTGGGCATGTTCTCTCACCTCTCTGAGCCCCCATCTCCCCGTTGGTAAAGTGGGAATAAAAATCTCTACTTGGAGTCGGGTGCAGTGGTGCATGCCTGTAATCCCAGTGGCTCAGGAGGCTGGGGCAGGAGGATCTCGAGTTCAAAGCCAGCCTCAGCAAAAAACGAGCTGCTAAGCAACTCAGTGAGAGACCCTGTCTCTAAATAAAATACAAAATACTACTTAGCTGGGGATGTGACTCAGTGGTTGAGTGCCCCTGAGTTCAATCCCTGGTATTCTCTCCCCACCACACTCACACACAAAAAAAAAAAACAAAAAAAAAACCTTTACTTGGGATGGTGAGTTGTGAGGATCAAAAGAATTAAGTAAACTATGCAACATTATTAAATAGATTGCTTTCATCACAATTCATAAGTAATGCAAAAAAGAAACTCTGTGACCAAGTTCACTTAATTAAGTAGATGCTGACCAGATGTGAAAAGACCGTGCCTGTACAGGTATACAATAACCTGTCTGCTAATGGGGGTAGATTCAGGGAGGGGAGGAGGTGACAGCAGCCATTAGAGCTTGGTGGCCCCTTGGAGGAGGCAACAGAGTGTAGCAGTGAAGCATGAAGTCTTTGGAAGCCAGGCTAGCTGGGTTCAGATCCAGACTCCGCTACTTAGCTGGCTGCCTGACTGGGCAAGTCTCATCTCTCCTGGCCTCAATCTCCTTAGCTCTAAGTGGGAAGACAATTGTTCTTGAAAGTGAAGTGAAATGGTTCACAGAAAATGTTCCATGAACAAAAAGTTTGCTATCACCTATATCTCATGCTGCATTTGTTTGTCTCCCCAGCTTAAAAGGTGGTCCAGCACTCAAGATCTGATCCTGACCCTCAGTAGCTGCAGCAGGCCAGGGGCCCTCTCTTTGGCCTGATGTCAATGAGGGTCAACCAGGTGGACTGTCCCTGCAGGCATTCAAACTCTCATTGTCTCTTCACACCTGCCACTCTCTCCACCACTTACGGGCAAAGACAGAACAGCTCTGGCCGGTACTGTCCTCATGACTGGCAGCAAATATCTGGGCCCTAGTTCATGGTTTAGGCTCCTCCAGAGGGACGGCTTGGCAGGAAGACTGTGTTTGGTATGAAGCCAACTTTCATATAAGACCTGGCTCTGCTGGATATTTAGCTATGTAACTCACAAATCCTTTTACCTGAGTGTTTTGTTTTGTATCTGCAGCACTGGAGATTGAACCCAGGGTCTTCTTGCACATGCTAGAGAAGTTCTTTACCAGTGAGCTACAACCCTACCCCTTTTAAAAATTTTTAGTGAGACAGGATCTCACTAAATTGCCCAGGCTGGTCTCAAACTTGTGATCCACCTGCCTCAGCCTCCCAAGTAGCTGGGATTACAGGTGTGTGTCACCACACCTGGCTTCACCTTGATGTGTTTGTTGCTCTTTTAAAATTAATATCCGCTGAATTCTTACTAAGTACTTCATTGTATTATTTAATATAATCCTCATAAGCTCTATTGTTATCTCCATTTTGGAGATGAGGAAACTGAGGAAGAGAGAGGTTAAATCATTTATATGAGGTCATAAAGCTAGTAAGTAGAAGAGCCAGGATTCAAATCCAAAGCCTGTGTTCTCTCTAAACCACAATTCCCTGTCTTCCCATTATTCCTGAGCCAGAAAGTAGTGAGGACAATTCCACTCTCCTGGTTTTCGTGAAAAGCAAAAGCAAAAGCATTTTGAAAGCCATTGAATGCTGCCCACATATTAGTCACAACTTTTTAAAAAAAAAAAAAAAACCAGGATAACAGGAGTTGTAATTTGAAATATCTCCCCTATGAAAACTTAGTAACAGAAATCTTCACTGTTAGCAATGCATTCCTTTAACAGAAATTCTCAAAAGCAAGGATCACCTGCATTAGGTTTACTGGGCAGGCTTGTTAAACTTGCAAATCCCTAAACTCCACTCCAGATCTACTGCCCCAGAATCTCAGCAAGGTGGCCCAGGAATCCCAGGTGTGGGAAGCTCCAGGTTGGGCTACTTAAAATGCAACTGTTGGCTGGTGCAGTGGCACATGCTTATAATCCCAGCAACTTGGGAGACCGGGGCAGGAGATTCACAAGTGTGAGGCCAGCCTCAGCAACTTAGAGAGACCCTGTCTCAAAGTAAAATAAAAAGGAATGGGGATGTGGCTCAATGGCAGAGAACCCCTGGGTTCAATCCCCTGTACTACACACACACACACAAAAAAAAAAAAAAAAAACAAAAACGAATAAATAAATATAAATAAAAGAAGAAGCAGCAGCAGCCACTGTCCCTGTCCTCTTCCAGGGTAGCAGGTTACCTTTGGGACTTAAGTCTTTGTGGCCAGTGTTTTTCAAGTTTCCCAAATATAAAAACACCAAACAGAGAAACTTCGGGACATATTTCTTTTTGTCTGCAAGCCTTTTTAACGCCACAATTCCATGATTTTATTGTGGTGGACTAGTTTAGAATAACCAAATGAGTGACATTTATGTTCTACTACAATCCTGACACCTGCTGTGATCAGGGAGTATCCCCACAACACTGCCCAGGACATAACAGCAGGCCAGAAGTCTAGACCTACAGGAAGTGACACCAATGAATCTCCTGTGGCTAAGAATTTCAGGCAGGTCTCTCCCAGGATTTAGGAGGGCCACAGAGTGAGACCCCAGTGAGAATTAACTCCCTGAGGCTACTCCTTAGTGAGGCCCTGGGGGTAAGTTTGTTCCACTTACCACAGGGGAATAGTTTTTTACACAGAAGACAGATCCTCCAAGGTCTAAGACTGGAAAGAGCTGAGTTGAGGAAAGGGTTGGGAAAAACAGAGACACTGGAAGTGGGGAAGAAGATGCTAAGAGACAAATTTGGTGAATATTCAACTGGGTTTGCTTTAGCCCCTCTGGAGACCGTGAGCTCCAGAGGGGCAGACACCATGTCTACTTGGCTCATCACATATCCCCATGGCCCAGCCTGAAAATATTTGTCGTGCAAATGATTCCCAAAAGAGAAGAGCATTGGTACCTGTCCCACCAGTGGCATGGAGCATTTTCAAGTGATCCACCGTCATCTGCAAGACCTCAGCTTTCTCCAGCTTGGAAGAACCCTGTAGGTACAGAAGGCAGGGAGATGCGGCTCCAGCTGACTTCTGTCGCTCTCCTCCTCTGCCCATTATCATGTCTTGATTTTCTCAATTCTTCCTGGTTTTCCCACCACTCGCATTCAGGATCCTGCTTTGGCCAAGATCTCCAAATCTCACAGATGCTCTTTATTTCTCACCTCAGTCTTCCTGTCTGCAGCACCACTCAGCTTCCTTTCTGAAACCCCTTCTCCCTGGACTGCAGCAACACCACTTCTGCTTTCTCCTTTCACTTTGCCTCTTGCTCTGCCTGTCCCTTAAATGGGTGCTTCCCCCAGTGGGCACTGGCCTACTTCTCTTCCAGCTCTGCCTGCTCTCCTCCAGGATCTCATCCACCTCTGTGGATTCATCCCTCACCAGAATGCCACTCAGACATCCCCACCTGCCTCCCAGAGCAGTGCTCCTGGGAATACAAGATCAGCCTCAGCGTGCTCAAGCCTTAGCTCATCATCTTAGTTCCAGAGCACTTGCTCTTCCCCTGTTCTTTCTTGGGAAATGTCTTCTAAGTTCACAGACCACCTGGCCTCTCAGAGAAACCTCAGGGTCAGACACTCTACACGACACCTGAGGGCAGACACCAGGTCTAGTTCATGGCTGGTCCTGTGAAGGTTTCAGTGAACATATGTGGAATGACTGAAGGAAGGCAGACGACCTGTGACAGGTGCCTTTGAGCCTAGGGGAAGAATCTTTGAAGCTGTTGCTTCAACTGCCTGACTCCTCGCTGTAGTCCCCCCACCGCAACATGTTCATGATAAGGCACTCACTCCCTGAGCAGCCTACTCCACTTTCAAACAGCTCTGGAAATGTCAGGAGACAGTCACATAGTCCTGTGCTCTGACTCTACTCTGCTCCTTGCTATCTGGGTGATCTAGTCCAAGTTACTTCTTTCTCTGCTTCAATTTCCTTACTTGTGCAATGGGCAGAACAATTGTTACCCTTCAGGATCATTTTTAGGATTCCATTCAAATGGACGTAAAGCCACAATACCTGAGGCACCTCACCAAGCATGAATTTTCATTCCCTTTGTCCCCTAGCCGGTGACAGATATTCAGACATGATCACAGCACCTCAGGCAGCTGCTACCCTTCAATAAGAGATACCATGGGAAACAAACCCTATCTGCCATCCACCCAGTATTTCCAGTGGCACAATCGACAATGTCACATACCTGTTTCTCAAAGGCAGTGGGGACTAAGCGCCGCAATTCAGAAAGGCTGCTGTTTATGCGATCTCGACGCCGTTTCTCTATGATCTGAAAAGCAATGACAAGATGTAGGCACTTGTCATGGTTTCCAATGTACCTTGATGAATGCTGATTTATATCTTTTCTCACAATATTGTTGTGAGCAAGTTAATGTTTTACCTTTTTTTTTTTTTTTTCCAGTGCTGGGAATTGAACCCAGGGGCTGTCACATGCAAAGCAAGTGCTCAACCACTGATCTACAACCCCAGTCCTTTAAAGGATTTTTATTTTGAGACAGGGTCTTAATACATTGACCAGGCTGACCTTGAACTTGAGTTCCTATTACCTCAGTCTACTGAGTAGTTGGGATTACAGGCATGTGCTGAGGCATCTGGCAGAAGTAAAACTATTCTTGCTTTATGGAGAAGGAAACCAAGGCCCATAGAGGAACTATAATTTGCTTAAGGTCACAGAGCAATACAGTGCAGCTCAGATCTCTTACTTTAGTCTGTAAGAGTGATATGCAAATTGTTCAGGCACTGGTACTGCAGGACACCAACAAAATGGGAACACCAGCCACAACATTGAAGCCGGCCCTGGGGGCCCCTGTTGGGCCAGGGTTACCCCTTCAGTTGCTGGGTCAGAGGCAGTCTGAAGAGCCCTAGGTATTGTTCTCTCCAACTGTAAAGGGCTCATTCACACTATCTCCTCCCTCACAATCCTGGTAGCAGGCCAGGCGTGGTGGTGCCTGTCTTTAATCCCAGTGGTTCAGGAGGCTCAGCAGAACCCTGAGCAAGACCCTGTCTCAAAATAAAATATAAAAAGGGCTGGGGATGTGGCTCAGAGGTTAAGTGGCCCTTGGTTCAATTCCCAGTACCAAAAAAAAAAAAAAAAAACCTAGGTGCAAGGTACCCATTAGTAGGAGGGAAGTAGTGACGCCCTCCCACCCCCATATTTTTATATATATATATATATTTTTTTTTTTTTTTTTTCCCAGAGAAACTCAAAAAGCTGAAGGTAGAAGTGAGAGGCACAGCTGGTCTCTGCCAGACGCCAGGTCTCTGGATTCAGAATGCAAAGCACAGCTGCATCCTGGGATGGGGGACTGAATACGATGGACAGCAGCAAGCAGCAAGCCTCCAGATTCCCAGTAAGCAGGAAACTGCTTTCCCTCCTTAGCACTGAAAAGAATGGAAAGCTTCAGGGTCCAAAAAGGGACGGAGATAGGGTAGAGGAACAAAAATAAGAACAGCTGATTGTGTGTTGGGTATTGCTCTGCATTGCTCCAGAGAGCACTGCATTAATACACTTCACCTTCAAGCCAGTTATTTGGGGGCAGGTATTGCTCTTATTTCAGTTATACCAATGAAAAAATGAGGCACAGAGAAATTAAGTGACTTGCCACAAATGTCCCGAATAGTTACTGGCAGCGTCAGGATTCAAACCCAGGCAGTTATCTTGGGGTGATGTTTCCGAACAGGTTTATGGACCAACAGATTCTGGATCAACCTTGTCTGGGCCACTCCACGGCTGAGAAAGGCACTCACCCCTCTGCGTTTCTTCCTGGCTTGCATCTGCGAAGGGCTGGGAGAGGACAGCGGTCTGGCCATCTGGCTGAGGAGGAAGAGAAAGGCTGGTTTCTCAGAGCTCGGGGACCATCTTCCTGGCCTGGGCTGACCTGGGAGGCAGGGCCATTTTCAGGCACAGCCCCCACCCGCGCGGCCACTGGCTCCCAGACAGGGAAGAGCCGCAGGGCAGGCGTGGGAGGGGGCGTCGGCTCTCCCTTTTTCCCTCAGGGCCCATTTCTCTGCCGGCCAAGTCCTCCCAAGTACTCTGAGCTTCCTGCCTCCGAGCCTCGCGCGGCCGCTCAGACTTATCTGGACCCCGACCTGGTCGCCCCTTGTCCCTCTTCTCTTGCGGCCGTCGGGGAACCGCGAACTGTGGCGTGGCTGCTGGGTCCTGCAACCCGATTCCGGAGGCGGGCCGGCGGAGGGCACGGGCCGGCAGTGGCCGGGCTGGGGCCGGGGCCGGGCGGGTTGGGTTTCAGAGGGAGCCGCTGGGAAGGAGCGTGGAAAGAGCAGATGCCGCCGCTTCCCACGGGCCGGCGCGCCGCCCGCCCTCTGCCTGGCCCGCAGCTGCTGTCGCCTCCCACGCGGCGCGGCCGGGGGTTGGGGGGAAAGGGGGAGGCGGCATCTGGGTCACAGGCCCCTCTTGCCTGCTCCCGGACACTGTTTTGGCCTCCCAGAAGGCTCTGTCCCCCTTAACCTCGGCCTCCCTCCCACCTGGGACCTTCTTTTGCCGCCCTGGCTGGATGATGGATGTTTGTTCCCATCCCGGGATTTCCCACTATAGAGAAGAGGCTCAGACCCAGGGGGTTTCCTGCCCAGACTTTTACCAAAATAATCTCCAACCCAGCAGCTGTCTTCTCAACAGGTTTCTCTCCAGAGGCTCTCTGAGAATGGAGAGGTTCTCTGGGAGGCACTGAGGTATCTATTCTTGGGAGGCCCTATTAGGGCCCAAGGCCTGGGCTGGATTCCTGAGCTGGCCTCAGCCCTCCAGGTGCTCAGCTCCACAAACAACTTTAGACAATCCCCTGCCGTTTTGGGATGCCAAAGGTCACACAACTTAACAGGAACCCATGAGCTTGACTTCACCTTACACCTGCTCCTTGACCCCCTGGGTTTCCCATCTCCGAGAAAGCATACAGCTTTGAGGTCTGCAGGCAGACACCTGGTATTGTCTTTGATTCTTCCCCCATCCTCACCCCTATCTCACCAAGACCTGCCCATTCCATGTCTAAAATACATCTCATGTCTGTCCTCTTTATCTGGATGGCTCCTCTCAGGACCACACCCCTATCATTTCTCACTGGAGGACTCTAAGAGCCTCCTGTTGAGTCACTCTTTTAACCCACACTTCTGGCAGAGTGATCATTTAAATGCAGACTTGATCTTGTCACTCTTCAGTGGCCAAGCTGACTCTCCTCACCTCTTAGACCCAACTAACTCTTGCTCTGTGTGCTCCAGTCTGTACTAACTCCTTTCTGCAGTTGCATATACTATTCTCCTAGTCTAGAAATCTCCAGTCCACCCAGTCTCCCCACCCTAAGCTGCAACCCCTTTGCCTAGTAACTTCAACCATCTTTTATATCTCAAACATCACCTCTCTTGGGAGCCTTTTCTGACATCTATTCTCCTGCTAGATGTCCCCTGCTCTATACTCTCCCAGCTTCCTGAATTCATGGCATTTATACCACTTTGTTGTTTTATATTTATATGGTTATTTGATTAATGTTTCTCTCTCCAGCAAAAACATAAGTTCCACAAGGCAACAGATCATGTCAGTTTCATTCACTATTGTAGCCTGAGTTCTTGGCAAGTGGAACTTGGAACTCTGCAGAGCTCATGGTAGAGCTTCTTCCTCCTGTCCTCATCTTTGCATCACTGAAGAACAGAGATATGCATAAAAATCTATGTTTTAGACCTTTGTGGAATGTGAGCATATGTGGCTCACCAGAAGAGTTCCACCTATGTGACTATACTCTTGGGATTTGAGATTGGATCATTTTCATCAACACCTCAAAGACAGAAGACTGTAAGAGAAACCAGATAGCTTTGGTCAGATCCTACTGCTATGCCCTGGCTTTGTCCGGCCACATCTGGAAAAGTATATCTCCCACCCAAACATCTGGCCAAGCAGAACTGGTAAGAGGCCTGGGGAGGCTCCTGGGAGGCAGGGCCCAGTGAGCTAGGTCCAGGGCTCAGATGGCTAGATCCTGAGATCTGTAGGTCTGTAGGGCAACTTGTTTTCAAAGCTTCTCTGGTTCACTGGGGACAAGCCCCAAGAGCCAAGGTACACTAAGAAACACAGTCTTTGTTCCCCTTTGCTGGATAAAGCATCTCTGGGGGTATTGGGTTAGTCTTATGCACGTCACTGCCTCTCAGCCTGATCCCTCCTCAGGGACCATCTGTCAGAGGCTGACGCACCCATTCCAGGGCAAGGCAGGTCCGCTGTCCCTTTTTTCAGTCTTCTGGTCAGTTTTTCTCTGCAGCATGACCTGCCCTTTCCCTATATCTCAAAAGCAAACCTTGCTATACAGTTTTACTGATGCTACTACATGTATTTCTCTCCTTTGATCCTTAGGAAAGTGCCATTTCACAGATGAGGATGCTGGACCTCAGGGAGCTAAAACAGCTTGCTCAGCCCACACAGCTGCTAAGGAGCAAAGCCAGCATGGGAATCCATGTCTTCTGGCTCCCAATTCAGCATTGTTTCTCTCCTAAGCCCTACTTCCTGTCTGTCTGAATAGTCCTCCAGTCCCCTTATCCTTCAAACTCCCAGCCAATGCTCATTCCGGCCTGTGATCTTGCCCTGACAGTGGGAGGAGGGGTGGCAGCCTCTCCCCTGAGAGTCTGAAAATAAAAAAGATTTTCATGAACCCAGAGAGGATATGATGACCATCAAGATCTGCTCCATGGCCCTCTAGGAGGCCCCAGCCAGAATTCCACTGCAGTGTCTCTGGAGGCAGGGTCAGCTTTCCAGGTGGTCCAATTGCCAGTCCTGACCACTCTCAGCACTGATTCCCAGCAGAATCCTTGCAGATGACCCCGCTCATTTTGCGTCAACCAAAGGAGAATCTCAACGTTCCCAAAAGTGAATTTTGGAAAGTACTAAGCCCACTTGTAAAATGAGAAAACTTAGAGATGGGAAAGGATCTTTCCCAAGTTACATAGCAAATGAGAGGAATATCCAGAACTAGAGCCAGCTCTACTGCTTTTAAACCAGTGCTCTTGCTAATATACCCCAAATATTCATCATCCCATCATAACCAGTACTTTTTGTTCTAGAATGCACTTCTATGTTTGTCTGTCTCATTTGTTGCATAAAAGCCCTCTGAGTTCATTATTATTTGGGCCGTTTCACTTTTAGAAGAAGTGATCATTTCATAAGTGGGGTGACAGACACACTCAGTAATTTTAGTCTTTGGACTTCCAGTCTTTTCATTAGAGCATGCTGCTTCATGAGCATGCGCCCACCCCACTGCGACCCCTTAGAGAGCAGCATTTACTGGAAGTTACCTTGTGCCTAAGCAAGGAGCTGTGTGCTTTACATACAAACAACCTCATCAAAGCTTCAACCTGTGAAGCAGTATTGGCACCCTGTTTAGTGAGAGAGAAAACTGAGGTTCAGAAAGGGTAGAGTCACTTGCACAAGTAAATGGTAAGGAGAGTCAAACTCAGGCTTATCTAACTTCAAAGGCCACCAGTCCTTAAATCACGTGGGAACAACCCACAGAGCCTGACATGTGACGGGTGCTTATTACATGTTTGCAGAAGGGTAGGGGAGAGGCTGTATACACTTTAGACCTAGAATATGTCCGGGAGCCAGGTTCAGCCAGAAGTTTGGTGGGTGATTCCCAAGGATGGGGCAGATACCCCAGCGACAATGGAACACACCCTATTCTTCCCTCTCATATCTCAGAGTGTGGGGGATTTGTGCCCTGCCACTGACCCTGGCAGGCTGCTGCCCCAGCCCTGTGGCCCTTGTCACTGTTTATCTGGCTTTCTTTGTACATAAAGCTCTTCTTCCCTGAGAGTTCCCTGAGGGCAGAGCCTGAGCAGGATACATCTGGGCCCCAATGCCCAGCCCAGGGTCTGGGCCACAGCAGGCATCGTTCAGCAGTCCCTGAATTGAAGCATTTATGTCTGCTGGGGGGAGGGCCTTCTGGGGAGTGCTACAATGAGGCATCTATAAGTCAGTTTCTGCCAGATGTCCAGCTGCTTCCCTCCTCGGAGGGGTCTGCTCTTCTAAGAACAGGCTCTAAAATTGGGGTTTGGCTGAAATGACAAAATGCTGTGGAGGAAAAAAAACTGTACTGACCCTTTATGCCTTAGCTCCAATACACCACCTTCAAGAAGCCCTCACTGCCATCTTTGGTTATGAGTGACCCCTCCCCATATAGGAATCCCTCTCTCTTTTCATTCTGTTCACAGTCTTTGTGTGATCTGGCAGTCACTGCCCAGGCTGCACACTCATGGAGAACAGAAGCCAGCTCTGATAAACCTAGATCTCTGTTATCAATTTTGTGCCTCTGACCCATGAAGACCCACTGAATTTGAGACCCCTCCACCACCACCACCTGGTGTTGGGCCCTTCTCCTGCTGGCAGGACAGGCTCAGAGAATTGTTTCTCTAAACAGCAATTTCTGCTAAGCAATTTGAAAAGGCTAATATGTTAAGCTTGGTGTGGTGGTATACTCCTGTAATCCCAGCAACTCAGGAGGATTCAGGAGGAGGATCACAAGTTTGATGGCCAGCCTCAGCCACCTAGTGAGACCTTCCCTCAAAATGAAAAAAATAAGAAAGGCTGGGAATGTAGTTCAGTGGTAGAGCACCTGCTTAGCCTGTACCAGCCATTGGTTCAATCCCCAGCACTGGGTGGGGGGGGAGGCTAATATGTTACATAGGAAATTATATGATACAAAATCCAAACCAAACATAAGATGTAAGAGGGATATCTAAAGTCCTATCACCTATTATAAGCTATTAATAATTAGTAGTTGGTGGCGTTTCACTAGGATGTGTGTGTGTGTTAAAGAGGTACTAGGTCTCAATCCAGGATCCTTCACATGCTTGGCAAGCACTATACCACTGAGCTATACCCCCAGCCAGGATCTGTGATTGAGGCAGGCTCTCCCGGCCTCAGAAAACTAGAGAGCTTTGAACTTATGAAATGCCTTTAGAAATACCCCTAGAAAGGAACTGACTCTCCTTCTGTTCTAGAGAGTCAGGTTTGGATGAGCTAAGAGACCTGAGGTTGTTTTCCCTTTCCCACTCCCATCCTCCTTTATTTTACTGATGAGGAAACAGGCTCAGACAGGGAAACCGATGGCTCAAGGATACATGGTGGTAGAGCACTTGCTTAGCATGTGTAGGGCCCTGAGTTCAATTCCCAGCACTAGAGTGGGGGACTGTTGGGAGTGAGGGATAGGGGTGGAGGGGGAGGAAAAAAAAGAAAGAAAGGAAGACAACATGGTGAGTTGGTGGCAGATGTGGGGCTGGGATCCAGGCTGGCAGATTCCCAGTCAGTCCTGCAGTTCTTTCAGGGTGTGTGTCTGACACTAAGCATTTGGTGATCCAGGGACATTAGGCCCTCTACTAAGCATTAGGCCCTCTACTAAGCCCGTGACATACATTTTCTCATTTGATTTTCCCAATACTCTTATGAAGTTGGTTTTATTATTATTATATATATGTATATGTGTGTATATATATATATATGTGTGTGTGTGTGTGTGTGTGTGTATTTTATATATATTTTTTTCAAATTTTACAGATGAGGAAACTGAAGCTTAGATAATTCACAGAGCTGGAAGTTGCAGAACTATATAAGTACAGTTTTTTCTATAAGTTTGAAGCAGATCGGAATATTCATCAAGAGAACAATGACTTTGGCAACAGAGTGGTTTGGTAGAAAGAGCTCTGAAATTGGAGTCTAGGTCTTTGCAAGTTGGCTATTACTTTCTTCAAAATCCAATCCCTAATTCCAAAGTCCGATTTGCTCAAAGGAGGAGATATTTTCTTCCCCCTGAAACTTTTTGTGAACTACACGAAACTGCACCCAATCTAGGGTAAGATTGGGGAAGTGTGATCATTCTGCACTTAAGCACATTCTGGACAGGGAGCGTGGTATCGACAGTCTGTGGGGGTTTCTTAAGGTCTTCAGGAAAACTCTGAACTGGTGACCTACCATGGGGCCTTTCAACAGAAAGACCACTACCAGCTGGCCATCGAGCCCCTGAGCTGGATTCTACCTCCATCCCAGCATCCTGAACCCATAAGTGGCCGAGAGAGCACCCAGGAGTACCAGGCTCTGGTGCAATCAATGGCACACGCCCCCTCACCTGACTCACGCCTGCGGGCTGTCGCGCACACCTGCATCTCAGGCCAAGGGGTAACCAAGGACAGAGACCATGCTCAGCAAGCCCGGCGGGGCGCTCTTGCTCGTCCTTAGGTCCCCCATCCTGACCCTTACCTCAGATCGCCTTCGCTGCCCACGTCGATGGGTCCGTCGGACTCACAGTCGGAGCCGCTCGGCTCCCTGGGCCGCTTCATGGCGAGCGCAGGCTGCCAGGGGCTCCGGCCCACGCTCCGGCTCCGAATCCGCCGTCGGGCCCCGCCCCGGCCCCGCCCCGGGGCGCCAACGCCGCCCTTTCCCAGGGCCCTTTCCTGCACCACAGCCCCCGGCGCCTCGGCGCCCCCTCGCCCCCGCGGTGACGCGCCACCGAGCCGTGGGAAGGCCCCGGGCGGTCACCGCCCCCACCGACCGCTGGGAGGTCCAGCTCCGCTCCGCCCCGCCGCGGCCGCCGCGCTCTGGGTGGCCTTGGGCAGGTGCCCTGGGAGGCCCTGCGGGGACGCTGAGGGTCCTCGGCTGTCCCTGGGTCGCCCAGGGCGCTGCCAGCCCTTGGAGGCGCGGCTGTGAGAAGCCCTAGCGTCTGCGAGGGCTGATCCTGCACCTTTCTACCTCCCACCCGCACCAGGGGCAGACACGTTTGGTCTGGTGAGGTTGGGGCGGGGTGGTGACTGTGACCTGATCTTCCACGAGAATTCCCCAGCATCTCCTTCCATAGGATATCAAAGCAAGGGGAGTGTGTGTGTGTGTGTGTGTGTGTGTGAGAGAGAGAGAGAGAGAGAGAGAGAGAGAGAGAGAGAGAGAGAGAGAAAGGGGTGGGGGAGAGAACACACCATGGGTGGCACAGACCTGTGACAGGTTGGGGTCAGCCCCAAAATGGATTGCTGAAGTGCCTATGCCCGCTGAGAAGGTTGAGCTGTGCACACGAGGGCCACACTTGCTTTGGTGGGGCGTGTCCCTGGGAATCAACTCTAAGTTCACCAAAGGCAGAGCTGTCCTGGGAAGCCAAGAACGCCCGGAGAGAGCTCATTTCATAAGCCCCAGAATTCAGGGAAAAGGGGAGCCCTATGCCTCTCTTCTTATACCCACCCCCCCCAATAGCAGACTAACTGTTCTCTGGATGGGAGTTCCAGCTAACCTGCCTGTAGAGGGACTCAGGGAAGATTCTCAGATTCACCCGCCATCCTCATAGGTCAGTACCAGAGAAACCCCCAAGAGGCAGAAGGGAGCTAAATAGAGCACCCTAGAGGGTAGACCTCTTGGGTATGGAGGAAGAGATGCGGTGAAGATTAGTGTGGTGGGCGGGATACTAGAGAAGTCTTTTTCCTTTGCCCTGCCCACCAGGACAGGCATAGAAGAAAGCCTCCTTTCCATGTGGAAGAGTGGGGTTGATCATCTGAGAATAACTGTACTTTACCCCATAACAAGACCTGCTTGGGGACACTTGATTACCTGTCGGGAAAGAACATGCCTGTGTTTCCTGCCACACAGGTCCACAGACAGTGGGCCACGGGCCAAATACATACAGGCAGACCTACACACTCATAAACAGCTGGGAGGAACAGCCACCCCTCAAGACTCTTGTTCTAAATGTCCTGGACACTCACATAACTTATGTGGGGACATGCCAATGAAGTGGAAACCTCAGCCAGCACAGAAATTATACAGTCCATGCACCATGCATCCCCCAGACAAGCAGAAATCAAGGGAGCCTCTCAGACATTTACCCTCTGTATTTAGTTGAGAGGAAAAAAAAAAAATGGTAGAGGAGCAGATTCACAGGGGAAGGGGAAGGTCAAGGGTTCTTCACATGAACTATCCCAGGTTATCAAAATATAGTGCACAGTTAAACAGGGGTTCTGGAGTCCAGAGAAGCAGTTTAAGCCAAATACTTAAATTTGGAAGTCATTAGATAATAGATGATATTAAAGCTAGGAGCAGGTGAAATCTCCGAGGAAGTGTAGATGGAGACAGATGAGTCTAAATGATAACATTTGGTGAGCATTTATTATAATACCAGAAAAGGTTCTAAGTGTTTTGTAAGTAGTTACACTTTTAATCCTTGACAACCTACAAAATAGTACTATTGTTATTGTCCCCTCTTTACAGATGAGAAACAGAGGCAGAGAAGGGTGGAGTAATCCGGTCTAAGGTCAACAGGAACAGGTAGTAAGTGAAAGGGCTGAAATTCAACAAAGCAGTTTGGTTCCAGAGACAAGTTCCCAGGGTTTATTAAATAACCTGGGGGCACTCTATCACTGGGAAACATTCCTAGTCCTTTATATTTTATTTTGAGATAGGGTTTTATTAAGTTACCCAGGCTGGCCTTAAACTTGCAATCCTCCTGCCTCAAGCCTCCCAGTAACTTGGATTACAGGCATGTGCCACCATATTTGGCTCTTATAGAGCTCTTAGACATTAGGCTATCTGATCTAGTACCAAGCCAGGGCCACTGGGCTGGGATGGTAGCTCAGTGGTAGAGCACTTGCCTTGCATGCATGAGGCACTAGGTTTGATCGTCAGTATCATATAAAAATAAACAAAGTAAAGATATTGTGTCCATGTACAGCTAAAAAAAAATTTAAAAAAATAAAGAAGTATGGCCACTGAAAGCTTCGTCTCTGTCTGTCCAGCTTCATCCCCAAGCTCCTCTGCCCAGCCCCTGCAGCTGCTAGAGCCTTCCAGCGATTCTGCCCCTGCTTGTTCTGCCCTCAGGGCTTTGCATTGCCTCAGGGCGTGCCTTCTGCCCCGAACTGCTCTTCCCTCTTCATTGAGGTCTTTGCTCTAATGTCACATCCTCGGAGAGGACTCGTCTGCCCACCCTATCTAACTAAAATAGCCACTGATCCTGTCAGCCCTGCCTTCCACATCACTTTATCTTCCTTTACAGCATCTAGTGACATGCACGTGGCTGTGTTTGCTTGCTGTTCATGTCCCCCACAAGAAGGTAAACTAGTTGAAGGTAGAGATTTGTGTCTTGTGTCATTGCTGACTGTCCAGCACTTAGAACTGGGCAGGGTGGGTAGTATGTGTGCAGTGAATACTTGCTGGTGGAACACCAATTTGAAAAGCTCAGTTAAGATTGCAAAAAAGCCAGGCCAGAGGGAAATGTGAAGTCCAGGGGTTGTTTTGCTTTTGCTTTGTTTTAAGATGGGAGGGAGTAGAACATGGATCCAGTGGCAGAAAACAGTCACCCGGAGGGGCCTTTTCATAAAGGATTCCACCTTGACTGTGAAGTTCTGGGAGGGGGGGTCCAATAATTTTTTGTTATTTAATATCATGTCCTTAGTGCTCAGCAAAGTGCCTAGCACATAGGAAACCTTCCAAACTATCTGTAAAATAAATTAATAATAATAATAATAATAATAATTTTTATTGCATTTAACATGTGCTAAACTCTGTACTGAGTACTTTGACATATATTAACTCATTTAAACCTCACAACAGCCCTATAAGAGAAATTTCTATTATTATTCCATTTTATTGAGACTCGGAGAGGTTAAGTATCTTACCCAAGATCACACAGCTAGTAAGTAGCAGAAATGGAATCCTAATTCAAAAGGCTGACATCTGAATTCATGCTGGTAACCACTGCATCATGCATTAGAGTTGGGTGGGTGAAACAGGAGATTCTTACACTAAACAAGGAATAAGGGCTGGATTCGATGGGGAAGAAAAAGGAACAGATTTGAGTGATGTTGGGCTCCTGTCTAGATGATGTAATCAAGGGAAGTGACAGGAACCACTGCAGAAGATAGGAAGATCAGGATGTCCGAGCTGTTTGTGGGACTCAGGGGACACCCAGGAGGAGAGTCCAGAGAGCGGTCTGAGCTGGAGTAGAGACTTGGCAACTGGTCGTTGAAGTCATTGGGTATGTGAGATATCTGCCCCGAGAGCTAGAGGAGAGGAGAAGGAGGATAAGATCCCAGGAAACAATAGCCAAGGAGGAGGGGAATCTGGCAAAGATGGGACACCAGGGTCCAAGGCAAGAAAAGCGTGACATGAGATCCAGAGGTCAGAGAGGACTTGCATGAGTGAATGGAGAAGCAGAGTCCAGGAAGGGCCAGACCCTGTGGACCAAAAGTGTTTGAGGACGCAGAGGAGGGCTTGGAAAAGCAGCCAGTCAGTGAGAGAGGGAGAACCAGGCAACTTGGGGGCCAGCAGGAGGAATTTGCTGGCTGGAGGACTCCGGAGCAGGCAGAGGGGTGGTGACTGATAAATGAAGCCATGGGAATATGTGAGATATCTGTCCCACAGAGTTAGTGCCGAGCAAGAAGGGAGGAGAACCTAAGACAGGTTGGGGAGGAGGGGGACCAGGTATGAGCAATGCCGAGCTCCTATCTGGGGCGCCTAGGAGTGTCAGGAAGTCTCAATTCAAAGGGAGGGAGGCAGAGAGGGGACCTCTATATTTCCCATTTCTTATCACCATTCCCTGGAGCTTGTGTAAGCAGGTTTCCAGGGACAGGTTTCAGCTCCAATGATACTTTATTCCTGACCCCACACTAGGTCAGCCCCCATCTTCTCTTAGGACATTTGGATTACTAAACTGAGATGGCCCCGGCTCCAAATGGGAGCTTGCATGTGGGCCATGTGCTGGATCAGGATTCCAGAGACCTCCATTGGGCCAGTCACTGGGTCTCTAACTGCTGGTGGAGGGGCTGGGGGGGTCCTGGAGGAGAGGGTGATTGGCCGAGATGCTCTTGGCGACAGATGGTAGTTATTAATTGTGCAATAACTTTTGTCTGTCTCTGGGATTGGTCTGTAATCCCCATAAAAGCAGGGACCATGTCCAGTTTGGTCACTGTCTCTCCCTGGTGTGTGACAGTGTGGGGGGCATAGTAGGTGTTTGGTAAGTATTGGCTGAGAGTCGTGTAAAGGGTGGAGGGGCTGAGGGCATCTTCTTTGTGGAGAGGGCAGTGTCTGGTCCTCCTGGGAAAACAGCAGAGTCACAGTGGGGACTGTCTTGGTCCAGGCAAGGCCTGGAGCACCTTGGTGCCACTCAGCCTTCTCTCTGCAGGGCCTTGCTCCTCCCTTTGTGTCTGGAGGGACAGAAACATACCCGGGACCACACAGTGAGGCCTTGGTTTTCTCGTTAGTAAAATAGGATGATAACAACGTTATTCGCTCCATAGGTTTCTGTGGGGATGAAATGAGGTGTTTAATTAATTAAGTAATTTATTTGGTACTGGGGATGAAACCCAGGGGCA